CCTATTACAAAAGTACCCCCATTCTTTTCCTTTTTTCCTTGTTTTGTGAAAACTTGGTGCCATGGCGGTTGGTACTTAGGACGCGCCTGAGCAAGCGCAGAAATAACCGTTGACGCAGCCTTTTTCTTTTTCTGTTGGGAATGGGGAAGAGAACTTTGGCGCGGTCATGGCATGGGAAATCTTTTTGAATTTTGAAATGCTGGGGAAAATACGAAAGCGATAGGAATTAGGACTTTAATTAGATTAGGATTTTGGGGTCGTCGTATTTTCTTTGTGGTAACTGAACGGTGTTCCTTACTCGCGGTCGCGCGCTCCACTACGCTGCGTCCCGCACTCTGCTCTCCCTGCGCCTTAATTCTAATCTCAACTGCAATCTCCTCTTGTTCCTCCCTCTATGAGTGCGGGTGTAACTGTAATCTTCTCGCCTCTAGTTTCTCCGCGCGCCGAAACGTGCAGCCCCTCTCCCTCCATCTCACTGGCCACAACGGTGCATGACTGGATCGATCCGTGGAGAGTGGCTACATCCCCCAAGCCGCGACCCAGACATGCCAACCGCAGACACTTCCTTCTCTTTTCTTTTCCCCTGCCTCAGCCTAGTCCCGACTATCTCACGCTGATGCTAATAGCTATAAATTTTGCAAACAGGACCAAATTTCTCTCTAACCAAAATTGGAAGGTTAGCGCGGGCGAGAGGATCGGCTAACGGGTAGGATCTGAAGAAGAGGTGAGTTCAGAGTTGGGCAATCTGACGGGCTGGCAGTGAGTGTGCCGGATTGCAGTGTGCCGACGACGGACTGTGGAACACAGGCGAATCCGGCGTGCGTACTCGCACTAAGCGAGGTGACGACTTCGAGTTGCTGGGAGGTGCGAGGCTACGGACTGCCTGCATGGGAGCGAGAAGGGGGATGGTGAGGAAGAGAGAGATAGAGAGAGAGCGTGGGTTGCTGGGGTGTACGATATTTCTCTCTTGTCCCTCTCGAATTTTTTGAATTAGGAACGACGAGTTTCGTCATTCCAATTTTTGTAATTACAAACGGGCGTATGACTGTATAAATTTTGCCCGTCCTCCGGAGTGCCTGTCACATTTCTTTCCTCATTTGAGTGATGTTGGCTATGGTGATCGCGGTTTTGATCGCTTTATTTTTATGATTTTTTATCGCGTGTATCTATGTGCGCTCACCTCCTGATTATGATTGGAAAAGATTGATGTTTGTCTGAGACCAGTTTGTTGAAGTACAAGAGAAGGGATGTTAGTCATTTTTGTTCAACGTTTGATGAAGGGAACTTATGCGAGCTCGTGCCTGCGCTACGACTCGCTGACAACACGGCCCGTAGTGTATACACGTTGGCGGCAGCGTTGTCACGCGGAGATCCCCAGGGCCCAAGCCGGGGTAGGGGTTTCA